CCGCAGTCCTCAGCTTCCCGGGGACAGGAAACCTTCAAGACCCAGCTGCCACGGCGCGCTCCCCTTGCGCCCCCATTCTGCGCGCCTCCGCACACCCTGCTCCAGTCTTTCCAGCCCTTTGCCGTGGGGCACTGCAGGAACTCAGCCCGAGCTGCCGTCTTCCCTTCCGGGGAAAGCTGTGACCCCCCCCGCAGGAGTGGCGGGGCGGGGTGGGGGGACCCGGAGAAGATGGCGACGCCGGGAAGCGAACCCCAACCTTTCGTCCCTGCCCTCTCGGTGGCTACCCTGCACCCACATCATCATCCCCACCACCATCACCACCATCACTCGCACCACGGAGGAACCGGAGCCGGCAGTGGAGCCGGCGGTGGCAGCGGTGGCTTCAACCTGCCCTTGAACCGGGGTCTGGAGCGCGCGCTGGAGGAGGCGGCCAACTCCGGGGGGTTGAACCTCAGCGCCAGGAAATTGAAGGAATTTCCCAGGACCGCGGCCCCCGGGCACGACCTCTCAGACACAGTGCAGGCAGGTGAGACACGGCCGAGGGGCAGTCAGTGGGTGTGGGTGGCTGGCTGGCTGGCTGTCGTGCCTTCCTCGACGCGGTGGCCAGTGTGAGATGTGGGCTTGCTGGGGGTCCATAGGCCCGTGCTCTCGCGAGGAAGTGACCCGCAGGGGGCACCATGGCCCCCGCCTTTCATTGATGCAGTGCCAGGAGGCAGGGGTGTGCCCGGCCGCTGCGCCCGCGAGCGCGCGTGTTTCCGGCTCCCCACCCTGGGGCCGCCGCGCCGGGGAAGTGGCCGCGGGGCTAGCGGGCGCGCCGCGTGCGCGCAGTGGAAGTGGGAGGTTTCACGCTGCCGCGTCGGCTTCCTGGGCCCCGCCGAGGGACTGGGAACCCCAGCTCCGGCAGCCGCGTCTGCGCCTCCGAGCAGGTCAAGCCTTCTTTGCAGCGAGGCGTCGCCCGTCTTGGTGGGGAAACCCAGACAAAGATGGCACGCCCTCGGCCGACCCGAGGCGTGTGCGGTGCTGCGAGGCCCCCTCGGCGACATCTCCGTGCGACCTGGCAACCTGGTGCCGCCTGCTCTTCCTGCGCCTGTGCCAGGAAAGAGCCGCCGCGATTGTCTTGAATCCGAATTAGCCGCGGCTTCGGCAGCGATCTGCTCCTCCTCCTTGCCGTCGCTCACCGCCCACACAGTTTGGTTCCTACCACCGGGGCCACCTGGTTCTCGGTAACCTGATCTTTGTGAGGGCCCAGGAAGGACAGCATGGCATATGAAAAGTAATTAAAGTGAGTCGGTTTTCCTGTGTGAGCCCGGCAAGTTGTAACTCGCGCCAATAATCAGCCAGCTTTTTCAAGTTATGTCATGTGTTGACATACTTCTGAGACGTCTGCTTTCTCTTTGGTAGTTGGGATTGTAGGCGCGGAATCTATAAACAGGAAGGAAGGTGGTGGAGTGGGATTCGGGCCTAGGGATCCGCACAGAGCTGACTTGGTTTCCGACCATCCGGTTCAGCTCCCTGGGGGAGGGTTTGCATTGTGGCAAGCGCCCAACATTTCCCAGGGCAGTGGGTGCCCCGTTTTGGAGCCACTGCACAGACCTCTCGGCTGTCATCATCTCATGGGCCGAGTGTCAGTCTCCCTGGATCCTGGATGGCTTGACTCTCAGTTCAAGCTCGCCCAGTTTCCTCTCCTAGGGGACGGAGGGGGTGGGGTAAGGGAGCGGACGGTTGGCTTTTGGAGGCTAGGTTTCCAGTACCTTCCCCCCATTTAATTCAATAAACATTTATCTAGAGCCTTAATGAATATTTAGATAGAGTTCTGAGTTCACTAGAGGCAAAAAGTGCTCTCCAGGGTCATTCAACTTTGTAATAGTTAGGAATGGGCAAGAAAGAGGGAATTTCCAGGGTTGAGTTGTCAACAGCTGGGAAGTCTCTTTTGATAGGACTTCTTAGTTACATCTTCTCAAGTGGAAGATATTCCAAGAATTGCCTGAATCATTAACTTAAAAAAATCTGTTATTAAATTCTACCTCCCTTTTGCCGTAGAGTGTACCTTGAACTATGGAATGGTTAGATGTGACTGCACAGTGTGTTGGATGTGTTTGTACAGTTCAGTAGGGGGGCTTCAAGGTTGTTCCTCCACTTCAGTTATGCTGAGGACCATTTCCAAAGTTAGGTGAACGTGATGGGTCTTTCTTTGAGAAGACCAGTGCTTTTAGAAGCAGGGACTACATCTTTCAATTGACCTTGCCGTGTGAGGTAGACGCTTAAACATGCTTATGGCAAGCTTAGGCTGTGAATTTTGCAGGTTTTAAATTATAAGCCTCACTTGTACATGTTTAATGCTTAGAAAATCCTAACTTGTTAAAATTCAGAGACCCAATGTTAATTCCTCCTCCAAAAATACTGTATTATTTGGGGAAGGGAAGGAGCAGAGGGATGTCACTTAAGTATGTAGGAACTTAAGACAACCCAATAAAGAGAAAAAAATATTTAGTGTAGCCACTTATTTTACATGAAATTTGAATATCCAAATGTGTTAAACATTTGCTCCTGTAAGACATCATTGCCTCAGGTCAAAAGCTGGGTGTAAACCACATGTATTCTTCTCTCTGTTCTAAAGAAATATTTAGTTGAACATTGTTCCTTATATGGGAGAGGAAAAGTAAAGTAAGAGTTAAAATTACCTCCATTTTGCAGTGTTGACATTTCCTACACATAAAGTGTTCTAGTAGAGTGGAAAGTATGAATAGTAACCCATACTATAAAGATAGTGATTTCTCCGAGGCTCATATTTAGTTTACAGAGTATCTCTTAAAATTGGAATGGCTTATGAAGATCCTTAAAGACTTAAGATGTAAAGTGCACTTTTTTATAAATTTTATAAGACAGGGAGTGACATAGCAAGCTTTTTCTCACTGTTCATTTGTATAATACAGGCCATTTGGTTTATGCCTTGTGAAAAGTAACTCTTCTGGCAGCTACCTATGCAGAACTGCACTCTTGGACAATGCTGCTATTTGAACAGAGTTGAAAACCAAGATGTGAACATAGCAGCAGAGGCCCTGAGCTGATCTGTAGGTATCTTAGCTCTGTCACTCAAGTGCATACACTTATTCATAGGCAAAACCCTTCAGGCCCTTATCTTGAGCCTATTACTTTACTTGTATTTGAGTTAAAATAAGTTTTGTTGTTAGGTTCTAGTCTTTTAGCAGGTGAGAAGGGGAAAGAAAGACTAGTACATGCAGGTGCAGTGGCACAGACCAAAAGGGACAGAAGAGCCACAATTAGCACTTACTGGGTGCAACTGGATGCACTTTTCTGTTGTCAGGTACATTGTCTGCATTATTTCAGCCCTCACCAGAAGCCTAGTCTTGTCCTCATAAAGAGGATAAAGAGGTTGAGATGGAGAGAAGTCAGGTAATAGTCGTGTGCTCAGGATTATACCCCTCCCTCTATGATGAACCAGTGATTTGAACCCTGATGGTCTCACTTTAGCATTCACATTCTTGACTATACTCCTGTAAAGCAGAGGGAAGGGGTGGAGAGGTGTAGCTTCTTTGGAGGTTCATTCAACACCTCTATGATGAACCAGTGATTTGAACCCTGATGGTCTCACTTTAGCATTCACATTCTTGACCATACTCCTGTAAAGCAGAGGGAAGGGGTGGAGAGGTGTAGCTTCTTTGGAGGTTCATTCAACCACCATTCATTCCACAGGTGTCTACTGGGTACTGCTGAGTGCCAGGCACTGCTCTAGGCATGAGAATGCAGCAATGACCAAAAGAGAATCCCTGTATCCCTTCTTAGAGAGATTCCATTCCAGGTTGAGGAAGGGTGGGGAATAAATTAAGAAACTGATTTTGCAGGATGAGAAGGAAGAGTTTTAGGATAGACATAATATCTTTGTTTTATAAATACATATGGTACTTTGTACTGGCTTGAGGTGGCTTGTAACAAGGGCACAAACTGAAGCATAAAATTGGGCCTGATAATAAGAAATACAAAAATATGCACATCAGTAAAGCAAACTCTTTTCTAGTGCTGGCTTGTTAAGTAGTCCCATTCTGGATGAAGAAGTTCAAAAGAGTGTTTATGTGAATGAAATAAAATGGATTGGGAAGAATAGAGAGACAAGAAAGTGTCTGTCTCAGACTGATTGCAGGAGGTTCTAGAAAATCAAAAGGAAGCCCTTAGACTTGACATGCAGAACATACGATGAAAGTTGGTCTCATTAAGGAGATGGTGGAGTATATTATTGCCAGTATCTTTTTGAGATGTCTGTAAGCAGGAGAGGCTGTATGGGAAATAAAGAGCTTATCCAGGCAGGAATATAGAAACGTGGCGTGAAAAATACTCATTGAATGTGTATTTTTTATGTTTGAGTGTGGAGTTCTGTAGGAGCTGCAAGGTATGAGACAAGACAGGAATGTTTGAGAAGCTAAGTAACAGTTCCAGGAAGCCACTGGAGCTGCAAGGCAGGTCAAGGTGAGTTGGCAAATAGCATTGATAGACATTGTGCACAGAATTCAGAGGAACAGGGCATTTTGGTGAAGCTGGTTAGGAAGACTTTGATGGCAGAGGTAGGATTTGGATCAGGTTTTATAGGATGGATGGGATTTGGATAGAAGTGCCCATGAACATTCTGTGGTTGGAAAGTTGGTTCCAAGATGTGGACTGAGAACCTGACAGTCTAAGATTCTGTGAATAGAAGAAGAGAGGGCATTTGAGTCTGTCCTTCTGTCATATCTTCCCACCCTGCTCCCGCCTTATAATGGGGAAACAGAGTAAAGGGCTCTCGTGACCCTTTATTTGAGGACTCTGGAAATGGCCGAGGCCTGGAATTTGTCATCCCTTGAGACTCATACCCTAGTCTGTGTGAGCTAGCTCTCTCAGCAATATGTACAGATTCAAAGTCTCTCCTCTGCGATTTGTGGGCAGGCTTATCTCCTGAGGGCTGACTTCCCCCAGCCCACCCCCATCCTATAGCAATGGAGTCCTTGGGATATTAGCACTTTTTAGTCATTGGAATCCACACAGGACTTGATAAATCTCTTCATACTCAACAACATACTGTGTTTCATAATTTTGGCCATAATGATTTTTCACTATAAATATAATGAAACTTTTAAAATCACATATGTTTTTAAAAAATTTATACTGTTTTATACTTATATCTAGTTTTGAAGTTTCTGCTATTGAATTAAATTTGTTAGTTATTAATGTAACTATCACTTACTGTGATAGTCACTGTCATATAAATGTCTTTATTCATTACATGTATTCTAAATACTCGCCATGCGTAAACTATACGTTATATCCTTTTTTCTTCTGATTATTATTATTTTTTCTCATGATCAATTTATTCCTTGTTAAGGTATAGAGGATTTCTAATATGAAAAGCTTTAGAACAACTAAAACTCGATATACATAGTGGTTCTGAATCATGTCCAGATGTACTCTTCCATGTGTTTGTGGTATTGCAAAAACAATCTCTACCAACACACATGCTATCCTCATTGCTTGCATTGT